ATGAAAAAAAAATAAGCTTGTGAAGCATTGATGAGTATGTGTAAACAAACATTGTGCATGTGCATGTGTGTGTTTTGTTTGTTTATTTGTTTGTTTTATTGTTTTTTTTTCTTCTTCTAGACCCTACTTCTGGAAACTACAATTCCAATTCCAGCAATATATGATTTTGTCCCAATCCAAGATGAATTCATGGCATCAAAACCCATCAAATATATATATATATATATATATATATACATACACACACATATCCACACATAGATAATGGAAAACTTTGGTTTTTAATAAAAACATGAAAAAAATTATAAAAAAATAATAATAGAAACATTTTTGTGTGACTTTTAGCAGGATAACTATCACACTAACAAACCTTGTAGTATAACCTCTGGAATCAAAATGAATGTGATACTTCCAATAAGATAAGAAAAAAATATATATAATTGAAACAAAAAAAGTTGGTCATGGACAAGTGATTCCACAAAGTTACCTCCTCACATGACCAAATTGATTACTTGAACCAAGGAATCCGCAACTATAATTTTGTTGCCATGTCATCCTAAACATGAGCCACATCTAATTGGCAAATTTATTATAGAAAATGGGCTTTATGAGTAGGAGGAAGACTGAGATTCTGTATTGGCTTGTTTTTATAGAGCCCCCATAAGACAAAGGACTACTGTTTTGTTCTTTTGGACCCATAGAAAAGCTTGCCTGTCTTTTGTTTCTTCCCATGAGTTTGTTTGTAAGGGGGCTAACCCTAGAATTTTTCCATGGCTTTGTGGGCCATCGGGGAATGGATGTGAAAAAAAGGATGTCATTATTCTCCATGGGGAACAATGTCCAAAGGATGCCATATTCATAGATTGCACAACAATTGGAATAATTTGGATATTCCTACTTTTACTAAGTCTAAACTTGATAGATCAAGATTTCGAGCATATCTTTTTATTTTATATTTTTTTATGAATGAATTGTTAAAGAATTGCCAATTCAAACCCCATTTTGTGAATTTTTGAATTCAGTACCTGTATTTAAAGTATGCAAAAAATTGTTAACTAGAGTCACGTTGATTAATTGGCATAGGTTAGATCAAGAGAAATATGAAGTAATTCAAATTATTTACATGAATCAAAGGAACTTTGAATTAAAAATTTATGATAAAATCACATATGTGGTGTTTTTCAATCTGGTAGGGTAAAGTTATTATTACTTTAATTAAATTTAGTGATAAATACTTGCAAATATAAAGCCTTGTGCCTACACATATTATGGGTTCTTGTTCATGTCAAATATCACAAGAGTGTTATTTGACACTTGTATTCATGGTAATTGTGAAGCATTCATATTTCAATTAAACACATTCATTATTAATTTCTTAAATTATAATTTATAATTTATACAAACATAAATTTGATATAATATTTTTATTTATATGTTAATTTTATATTGAAATTTTAAGTTCAACAAATTCAGAGTGTTTTTCAGATCATTGAATTTGTATTTTCTACTGCTTACCATTAAAATAATTTAATTTAAAAAAAATGATATAATACGTGCTGAATATCTTTTGAACCCCTATATTTAATATTAATATTAATATTATTTTAATATTTTATAAAAGCCAAAAGATAAAAACTTAAAAACTTTGAGCATAAAATCCCAAAAGAGATGTCCTATACTTGGTGACAATTATTTATATTTAGCTTTACTTTTCTCTCATATCAAATCCTAGTCACATCGAAACATGTGATGTGAAATATATTCATACTTATAAAGTAGTTGAAATATTTAAGATTAATTTAAGATCTTATTCTTTAAAAAATGAATTTATTATTATTTTCAATTGAATATTTAATTATTATATTTATGTACTCTAGCATAATTAGTATAATTAAATGTCAAAATATATAGTCGCTTTTTGTCTCATACATTTCAAGAATCCATTTAAGTATTATCTTGCAATCTAGTATGATTTTCATTAAATAAGTTATTGCAAAAAATAAAATCTGCAAAGAACAAATGTATTAAGATAGAGTGAGAATGTAATCACCACAGGACTAGTAAACTCCTTAAAGAATGAGTTGTATGAAGTACTATTTAAATACGAATTATATATATATATATATATATATATATCTTTCTATCCCATGCACTGTTGAAATATTAACATGATTTGGTAAAAAACATCATCTAAATTAATGAAAAATAATTATGAATGTGTTTGATATTGTGGGATTGTAAAGTTTTATATAATATGAAATGTTTAAAAACGTTTGTAGTTGTTGTCGCATAATAAGTTTTTACAATATTAGTTCAGAAGGATATATTTTAAGTTTAATTTTACATAACAAAGAAAGTAAGGCAATATTCATCACAAATGCGAAGCAAAACATGATGTTACAAACTGAAGATATAAAATTTGTTTTATGATTATGAATTTATGATAAATATATGATGATTTTCTTGAACATTAATTATTTCTTTTTAATAATACATAAAGAAATGTGATATGAGTGTTAAGATTATAGTACTGTCACTTGGTTATTATTATTTTGCATGAAAATAACATGGTAACTATGACTTGCATTTGTATATTGTTAATAAGTAATATTAAAATGAAATATATATATATATATATATATATATATATATATATATATACAACATGTTGAAAGTTTTATCTAAAACATCTTTCTACTTTATGATTGATTTTAATTTCAAACTAAAAATATATTAATAAACAAAGTAATATATTAAAATATGTACTAAATATATAACTTATTAGTATAATTAAAGTTTGATTATATTATTAGACAAAGTTAAGACTTTCTTAATAGTTGGTTCATATGACAAATTTGTTTCTAGAACTTCAATTTTAATGCACCTTGTGAGTTTTATTACAGTTTTGGATCAAGTTTATTATGCTACATTTATTTTTATGTATTTGCATTTAAACCTCTTGCCTAAATTACAATAATAACTTCTCAAATTATAAATAATTAAATTTTTACACCTTACTATAAAATATATTTAAGATTGTGCTTTATTACTAACATTTTTTTTATGAAACATACAAAGTTTCTTGCAACTCTATAAATTTCAAGCATGTTGCAACAATTTATATATACATAGTACAATGTTCAAACGATTTATTGTCAAAATTTTACTAGATTTTTGTATTTTTGTATTTTTTAAACAACTCACTACAAACCATGATTAATATTATTTTATTATTCATTAACAATGTTTCATATAAAAATGCATAAAATAACAATAAATAAATATGAGTTTAATAACACAACAATGATAACAACATAAACAAGAAGATTTTAATCTAAATTTGCCTAATGATTCTTAAATCTTAAAAAATTTAACAATATTCTTACCCCTTGAAATTTGATTGAGGGATTGATATTATTGATGGCCCATATTCTTGGACACAACACATGTAAAAACTCTACTCAAAATAGTTTGTATATCCAAAAATAGACAGCACAACAATAAGACACCCTCATGTTTGCCCTTGAATCCTAGAGTGACAGAGATCCACAACACGACTCCTCTATTGTTTGAGTATGAAATTGCAATGATAAAGCCCACAAAACGTATACAATATAAATATTTAAATTCACGAATGATAGCTTTAAACTAGCACTTAGCTAAATGCAATGAAACCCACCTGAATTGAAAGCTTTGCAATAACAGTAACACCAATTGAATCCACCCCAAAGTAGGCAATTTCCAATGTTCTCTCTCAGAAATTGCGACCTCTTTGAACAGCAATAAACCATCAACAACAACCAAATGTACAAGAATGCATTCCCAATAAACACACATTCAAACCAACTCCAACTTCACTATTGAAACCTTCAGTTGGACAATTAAAAACTGTACAAATCTAAGTAATGTAGGAATCACAGGTTGCAATGGTGTTGACAAACAAGAAGAAATTCCTTCCTCTGCCATCACCGCAATTCCATTGCAAACCACAACCCTAAAATGGTTATATATATATATATATATATATATTCCGAACACCGCAACTCTCAATTGCAATCTCGGACAGTTTTGTGGCCCAGAGACACGATATTTATCAAGGTCGGCACTGAATTTTCATAACTCATTTTTTTTAAGACTTCAACAAGCACTGAGGCTCGTTCACGGAGTGACCAACAACCCATCCACGATGACTATACTCGTTTTATTCTTTTACATAAAATGCGCAGCCACTCGCAGAATCGCAATGCCAATGACACAGATTCGAAGGAAAACTATAAAAATAATAGACGACTGCATTCGGATGTACCGCGTGAGAGGCGATGGGGGCGTGACTCATCCGGTGGTTTCTCGAAAACCCTCCTTGCGCGGTCACTGATTCGATGTTTTGAAGAGAGAATTGCCATGGTAGTTTAAAAAACAAGGGGAAGCAGAGAAAGAATGTGCCCTCCGGACACGCTGCGTTGTCAGAACGACGAAGGTTTGCCTCACTTCTTTGCTGTGGAAATAGAAGTGACTCAGAATCGATAGCGAGCAGATGTGGAGAGACGATGCAAAGTGTGAGAGATGCGAGCCGAGGTCGAGAGGCCCGCGGGGAAATGAACGCGGCGGTCACCAGTGACCACAACCTCTTCTTGGAAGTGCATAGTTCGACGTTGATAGGATATCGTTTCAAGGCTGAATCCCAGATTCTTCCCGCGCTGCACTGAGATATCTCGGAGACGATGTGCTTAATTTCTAGTCGAGCACCTTTCATGTCTACGTCGGACCAAACCATGCTGAGGTCAAATTCGTCCTTGGAGTGCTGCCAGCACCTATTTGGGTATTCTGTTTCGGTTTTAGGATGCCGTGTATGTTGAGGGATCATTGCAAGGGTGTAGGTGTAGGAATTGCCATAAATGAGATCGATTCGCCGTATGATAGAATTCTAGGCTTGAAGTCGACGTTGAGTAGGTTTAGAGGATACCCGTGTTAGCATTAATTTTTTTTTTTTTTTTTTTGCATCTTCCGTGCGCAGCCCACAATGATGTAGATTTGAATGCCGTTTGATTCGTACTGGGACGACGTCTGGGTGAGGAAAATTTGTGGACGCAGGGGGGGGGGGGGTTGTATGTTCTAATGCGAGTGCTTCGATGATGGAGACCATGCAACTAGAGACCACTAGCGGCGTGTCGCTATCTGTGAGGATTTTCAAACCCACTTCCAACGTGGTGGAGAAGCCCGTCGTTATGGTGTTGGTGCACCAATACTCCAAAATGGGTGGATGCCAGGAGCTTATGCGTGGTATGGCGTACCGTCTTGCTGCCAAAGGCTTCACCACCATCACGTTCGACTTGCGAGGTGTCGGCGGGTCCACTGGAAAGCCAACCTTGACTGGCACCGCGGAGGTGCAAGACGTTGTGGCCGTGTGCCGTTGGGTCTCTCAGCATTTCCTCGCCCGTTCCATCGTGCTCATCGGCTCCTCCGCTGGTATCAATCTTTCCATCCTCGAAATCATTCCTTTCAGTGCAACAGCGGATTCTCTTTCTCTTTACGAATAGCAGGTTGCAGAGCATGCTGAATCCAATCTGAGTGCGGCTCATAGTGGAGAAGTTTTCACAGTTCTTCGGGAACCTATTGCAATGTGTGTGTGGACACTCTTCTTTGTGGGGACAGCAAAAAGCAGGAGAGCCATCACTGCTTTAAGCTTTTTCTTCATTCCCCGTTCATACTTTGCTTGAGTGGAGGGTTTTGTCGTCTGGAAAATTTCTCTGCGTCGTTTCGTCTTTTGATTAATTTCCATCACTGCTAAGTAATGTAAACCTTCAGCCGAACTAGAGAAGGCACTCAGACCCAACTAATACCTATGAAGCCATGAAATTTCGTATTGGATCTCCACTTTTATATCATGAGAAATTCACGTGGTTTTAACATTTTAATTTTAGTTTTAATTCTTTGGTTGTGGCTCTGGCCACAGGGGCTCCTATTGCAGGAGCTGCAATTGAAACACTCAAAGAAGTGGTGGGCTACGTGAGTCTAGGCTACCCATTCGGTATACTGTCTTCCGTTCTCTTCGGTCGCCACAACAAGGTCTGTCTGCAATCGCAGAAGCCGAAGCTGTTCGTTATGGGGACAAATGACGGCTTCACAAGTGTTGAGCAGCTTGAAAGCAAATTGAAAACTGCAGCGGGTCGCGTGGAGAAGCGGCTGGTGCAAGGTGCGGGGCATTTTGAGATGGAAGGGCCGCAGTATGATGACCAAATGGTGGAGTATATTATAACTTTTGCGGAGAGTTTGCAAAGATGAGAACTGTGGTAAAATTTAGGATTGGCACCAGCCTCTCGTTCTGTCCTCTGACTCGCCTGATTGTGCAGAGTCCTACAAGGGCTGTAAATTTTCTGAGGCTGAGAGGGAAATTTCTCAAGTTTTTAAGTTTTCAAGGTACGAGTCCCATTTTTTGTGCATTTGAGTGTAGCAATCCCCTAGAGTAAAACATCATTTCTCAGATGTAAATAGTAGTCCTCAGTCTCCTAATGGCTGTGTACATTTGGCCAAATACGACGAGGATTGAAACGAGAGAGCTGAATAAACTCTGCTAGAGTAGGGGAAAAACTTGGATCTGACTCTGCTTAAACCATTTCTAATGTAGCCATTTGGGATATTTAATATGCTTATTATGCTAGAAGTTCATGGCAGTCTCTTTAACTTGTTTTAGCAAACGCTCCTCAGAATCTACCGCTAAGGGACTATCAATGCAACTAAGCAATACTAATTAACTCTCAAAGCCTCAAACTAATTCGAAGCCATGCCCAGTACATGAAACCTATTTGGAAGCTTCTTCAACCTGTCTTACAATCCGAAAGGCTTCATTCAGACTTCCCCTAAGTACCCAAACAACAGAAAGGCTTCGGATTAAGTGGGCACAGGTGAGTAAACTGATGCTTCAAATTCACAAAGGTTCCTCCACCTCCAGCACCTACTCCAATGCAAACTTATAGATACCCTCACACACACCCCCCAGGATTCAATTGCGTCAAGCCATGCTTCTCAAAAATACTTTGCAATTAGAGAGACCAACCTCTTGCCGAATTGAAGTCCAGCAATTGAAGTCGAAGCAGTACAAAATTTCCATGCAAAAAACATCAATTTGTTTTTGCGATGGTATCTGGGCCATACCAAGAGTTTCCACAGCATCGAGTTAAAACTAAAAACAAGGGTTTTTCCGTCCCTTCTGAATTAGACAAGACGATGGGAAATACTACATCAAATTTTAAGTATTGAAAATGCATTTTAAATCTACCAAACTTGCAACGTGCGTAACCCCATGCAAATGGCCCTTGCCAGATTAACTACAATGACAAATTGTGGGTATTATTTGAATTGTGAAGATGACTCACAATCCAAATAATTGTTTTTTGATCAATTGACATGTGTTGTCTTTGTCATCACCAATGCATGCATTATTGAAATGGTCCAATCTTCTCTTTTAAATTGTTTGTGGTTGTGTTATTTGAGAAGGGTCTTTGTGCATCATATATTTGCCACTTATTTTAAATGGAGTTGTAGAAAAAATTTCAACATGTAAGCTTGGATATGATTAAACCAAAACAAGAGTAGTGTCGTGAAACAAAGAAACAAGAATTGCTCACATTAATTACATAAAATACATATATTGTGTTTTTATTGTGAGGAATTGTTTGTAGTGACTAGATGAATTTGAAATCAAACTTTGACTTTTCACATCAAGAAGATCACTCCCTATTTTAGGGGTTAGTTTAGTTCCAGTCTATTTTCAGACTTGAAAAATATAGATCCTCCAAAAGACAAGTTCAAAAAGCCTAAAAAAGAATTTAATGGAGTTCAATATTACAAAATGGTAATAGGTTACATCTGTGACAAGAAAGTGATAAATACTAGATCTCAATATCGAATATCGTTCACTGAACAATCGAATTAACAAGTCTCCAGTCGTCATGCTCAATTCCATCTTTACGTCCTACTATGTTATTGCAGCTCTGCGGGGACGCAAAAAATGTTCCCACAACTACGAAATTCGCACAATTTTTTCGGCACTATGCACTGCCTCTGAAATATATTACAATAACTAAAGATTCGTCACCCATATAATCTCCAAGTAGGAGGAATTCAGAATGAAAATCTGCAATTAATAATTCAAGGAAGGTCTATTTTGCTATAAAGGGAAGTTACCAGTTAGACGGAGATGATCAAGCACGCGCTCAAGCCCAAATTGCTGTACAGCGGCCATCCCGTGCCGGAATCCATCCCCATAAACAGGCGATGAGTCAGAGGATATTTGGTGTAAATAGAATTCACCAAGCCGGGCTTCAATAGCAGCTGAACTGTTAGAAGATGATCTAGCACCTTTCAATTTTTTAAGTTCAGCTGTCAACCATATGTGCGACATGACTTGGCAGATACCCTCCTCAACATGAGGGGCCATGGGGCGAAAATTTCCTGCAGCAAATTTGCACCACAGATTTATCAGAATAGTGCCACAACCTGAAGAAATTAGCACCCTTGAAAGCATAGATATCTGTAGGTAGTGAACTGAGAATACTAATATCAACTTAAAATGTTACCGATTTTAATATTACCTTGCAGACGAATCCAAGCATGCATAAGTTCGTGAGCCAAGATAGACCCTGTGAGCAGTCTGCAGAATTCAAACAACCCCCGATCAGTAAACAACGATGGGAAATGAACAGAAAAATTGGGAACAAACTGCAGTGGCATTTTACATGCAGCTAGGTAGGTGAACAATAGCATAAATTGGCAAGGATAACGAATCTCGATAACATAATTATATATATATATATATATATATATCATCAGACAAGGGAACTTACCTAGGAAGTCCATACAGAACAAGTATGGCAGTGACCTCACAATGACGAGTTAGTTTCTGCTTTTCAGTCCGCAAATATCTCATTGGGTTTCTCGATTTTCCTCCCCCATATACCTGTTTACAATAAGTCAGGGGTACAACATATTAATGCGTGGGCCACGAGACGAGAAAAGTCATGATACGTGATCTTGTCATGAAAAGTCTCGACACACATATTGCTAAAGCTTTAATTGATCCACATTGATCTTAAATTTTATATCCTTTTTAGTGTTAATGTTTCAAGTTGCGTTATGAACAAAGCCCAAAACATTGAAAAACAGCGTTTGTGGATCTCACCGTGGTTATTGTTTGTTCCTCAGAAAGACATAACCCTCGTGTTTCCGCATTATGAGTGTGTCCCTGCCACAAGAAATCGTAATCAAGTCACTTTTCATTCCTTATAATTCCTCCTTAAATACCAAGATGTTTACTATGATCTATGCAAAACCCACACGTGATCTAAGTTTAGCATTTTCTGTGCTGTTAAGATAGTGGTTGCAAAAATATCATAGTATAGATACTAACAAGCAACAGAAATATGAAATTAAGACTCGTTCAATGGAAAATTCTATTGCGAAGGGACATTTTGTCCACAACGCAAGCATGAATACCCGCTTACATCTTTCTCGCCGTCCCGTGCTGCATTGAGTGCGCTTCGTGCAACCAAAAGCATAGGAATCTCCTGCGCGATCGGCATATTGATGCTCCTGTAATACTTCAGAATTTCTCGGTACAAGGGTTGGCAGGCCTGGTTATCCACCACTATTGTATCGTAACATTCTAGACAGACCTTACGATCATCCGCCAGTGATCCTTGAGCTCCAGTTATTTGAGCCAATGAAATGTATGTCCCTGGCTCCCCAGTCTACATCCAGCACGCATATTGTGTAAGGATTTGACATGTTATTACAATTTTGCAAAAGTGTACAGCAAGAAGTGCACAAGTACCAGCTGCAAGATTTTCTCTCTCAAACAGACTATTTGATGAATTTGCAATTTCTTGTGACGCACAAGTTTTTTAAATTACGGTCCTTCTATGGTCATAATTCTTGGTAAGCATTCTCAAGGAGTCATGTTTGTCTTCAAGAAGTACACAATCAACGTCGGCCCACACAGCCTTACCTCGATACGATCACAACTACAGCAACGAGGTGTGCCATCTCTCTCATGTCTTGGACAGTACTTTTGATTCCAGAATGGATGTGATCGGTATTCTATAAGTCCAGCTGGATTTGTTGGGATCTGCGAATGAAAACGGAAGTCATTGTGATGTGGCACTAGACAACAAGCCTAAAATGCTGAAGAGCAGGAGCGTCTATCCGCATCGCCAGATACCATCATCATAAACAGTGAATCAATATCACACTCATGACATTACGTAATGTTGAAATGGGTAGTATTGGTTTTAAGTTAATCTAGAAGAAAAGTCACATGAATGAGAAGCACTTACAAAATGGTTGCAAACCTCACACTTGGGATGGAAAATTTCCTTGTAACATTCCCGATGATAAGCTTCATTTCCCTGAACTGAGAACTGAGTTAAAAAAGAGACCACGGTTAGGAGTTTACCCTCATCTTAGCATCCAATAAGGAAAGACAGAGCAACTGAGTTCGAATGGGTTTGTATTCTCAGCTATAACACCTTCCTTTAGAACTTAATCGCTATCAAATGGCAGCAGCTTTGACAATGTTTGAATCTGATGGATGATGTAAAGGGCACTAGAGTACCACAAGAAAGTCTAAAAGCAAATACCTCGCGTTCTGCTATTGCATTATTGCATTTTTTGCAACAAAAGCAATTTGGGTGCCAGTTTTTGCCCAAGCAACTTAAGAAGCGCCCAAAACCTAGTGATTCACCACATCCGGCACAAACATTCATACCACTCGATCTGCAGCACACCAAAAACGATTAGAAATAACCTTTAATTTCACCCAATTGCAACCAGAAAGATCGATAAGTAAATAGAATCACCCGTGGCGTAACAGTAAATTGAAATTTTTTGTGCTCCTTTATATGTACATGTATACTCAAATACCGACGGACCAAACTTGATATGATCGAATTATCATACGTACCTAGATGGAGGAGGGGCGTAAGAGGAAGAATAAGCGTAAGGGTCGCGGTGCCCGAAATTCAAGCTCTCCTGCATAGCTCTTGCCAGTTGCTCGTCTTCATCCAAGTTGTTTACAGGCCGTCCGCCTCTTTCTGATAAATGAACACATGGAATATCAGATTCTGGAAAAAATGATTTAGTGGACCTAGCATCAGTTCGAACAAGCAAACAATCCGGGCACAAGCTTGGCCGGTATAAGGAACCCCACGTTCAAATCCTATAAACTGCACTTCCAATCGAGGCAGAGAACTTCTACATGAAATTCCAAAACGAGAAAGTGCTCAAGTCATTACGGTAATTTATTCCAAGTCCTAAAACAAGAGAATGCACGCGCTAAACCACCACGTTAAAACCCGATTCCGTGCAGGAACCAGAACCTCTGGGTAGAACTATGTAGCACCCCTATCACGTACATACTATCATCTGGAAAGCTAATAAAAATTCACAAGTTTCAACTGGGTAAAATTTTAAAACAATTACAGCAAGTTGTTCCTAGATAATGTCGTTGGCAGCCTAATCTTAACTTGATAAGGATCAATTAAAAAAAACTATTTGATGAATTGATGAAATCAATCCAAGTGAACAGATCACATGTGAATTAGGAGATTGGGGGGGCGGGGGGGGGGGGGGGTGCAAAACACAAACACAACCAAAACGTATAACGCATCATGACACTCACTAGCACTTTGGTATTCATCTTCAGACAGAGCAATAGCGATAGCTCTGTCAGTCTCTTCTGAAGAGGGTTCGCCACGTTCATACGAAGGCCTGTCATATTTAGGCGGTCTCAATTCATGATGCCTATCATAACCATGCCGATCGTTGGAATAAGAGCTCCCTACACCAATTGGTCTTGCATCCTGTCAAAAAACCATCAACAGAAGCATTCAACACCAAGTTCTGTAACATAATTTTGAGCAATTCATGGTAAATCTTTAAGATTATAAAGTTCCCAAACAGGAAAATACACTCGAGATGCACAAAAGACAGCCAGAACAGAAGATGCTTACATCAAAAATATTGGGGCCGTGCCAACCTCCAGAACTCTGTCGTGGCATGTACTCCGGTCTAGGATATTCAAATCCTTGATCGTAACGATAACTTGACCCAGGTTCGGCACCCAACCATTTGTCAAACCACCCCATCTTGGATCCTTCTTGTGTTCAAAAAACAAAAACGATCTTGACGCTACCAAAACGGTCTAGCTCACAACAGTCTTAACCAGTCTAAAACTAGTCTAGAGCCCCAAAACAACGATACGAGAGCAAAATTCACTGCTAAACTTGTTCGCAACACCGTAAATAGGTGACCCTGGCAGAGATCAACTCCACTAAGGGCAGCGTCCAATTGATCAACTCCGACCCTCAACTGCAAGAACCAAAGATAGAACTTCCACAAGCGATGAAACACACTTTAGCAAGCACAGGACTCACTGCACATCAAAGCTCCACGCGGAATCAAAACCCAGTGTCTATAATCACACACTCAAAACACTCAAAAATCAACCACTTTACTCGAAACTCGTTCTGCTGTGCGGAATGCTTGCTAGAGCACCGATCCTCTTAACCTCACTGCTTCTTCTTCTTTTTCTTCGATTTTTCTCTCTAATTATCCAAATTAGCCATGGCGATAGAGTAACGGATGTCAAAGATGGTCGGCGCTACTCACCCTCTATCCCTCTCCCTCACCTTACACCCCAACCTTGCTACTACAACAACCGATCCGTGATCTCCACACGGAGACGACCGGCTGCTGGACATGGCCCCAATTGCACCCTCCGATTCTCAGACCCACCTCACGAATCCATCGATCAACGCGTCAATCACCCACTGCGCGCTTTCCACGAAAACCAAGGAATTGCGGGATGGTTGACCCAACCCAGTGACGAACCTGGCGGAGAAGCCCACACCTCTGCACTCCCTCCCTCGCCTCCCTCCCTCGCTCGCCCGCGACAGTCCCCACCCCATTCGATCACGTCGCGCTACAATTGCCATGCGAATTCCATCGCACCATTCTTCCGAATTCGTCGCCACCCTCTCTCCTCCTCGCAATATCCCATCGCGGTTTCAGCACTCTCCCCCCTTTCCTTCTCGCCGCCGCTGCTTGCCTCGGATTACCGCTTCGTGTCTGGGTATTTGTTACTTTTTGGGTTACTTTAGCTTTTGTCTTTCACTTTTTGGCGGCGAGAGTACGGGGCTAAGGCCACGTGTGACATGGATACTCCAGGTGGCGCATTTTCGTTGGTTGTTCAGCTGGGCACCCGGTGCACGCTATTTCTGACGTGGACGTGGGGTGGGGGTGGGGTGGTTTGTGTGTGTCAGGATACCTGCGTGATTAATAGGGGTACGATTGTTTTGGATGAATGTGTTGTGGATGGATTTGTACGGGTGGATGGTCTGTGAGATGGATGTGTTTTGTTTTCGGGCCTGGCCACTTAAATAAATAAATAAAGGATCAGTTAGTATGGGTAAAGACAAAGGGGGGCTAATTTCAAGGCAAATTCAATTATGTGATCTATGTGTTGTACAACAGGTGTACAAAGATTTAATATCATATTTTCTACCAATGTTTAGATATGTATATATATAGATATATACAATAGTGGAAACCTATATCTTTGGCCACAATAAAAACATTGTAAACTATGTGTTGTAAATTAACTTTTTTTTTGAAGCTTCATATGACATGAAACTCCATGTTGCCTTATGTTGCCTTATGTTCTATGTTGTTCCACATTATGGTGCTTCTAAGCTCCATGCCTAGTAATCTTGTAGTATTACTCTTGGCAATCTACAACAATTGCATGCAGATCTTGATCTGTGATTGATCAAAAGTTGAGTTATTACTTCACTTTTGTTTCACTTTTGATGAAGACAATAAGATATATAGCCAATTAGAGATAGTTTTTGTCTCCTTTAATTTATCTCATTGGATTATCATCTCTAAGTTGTTCTATATATATATATATAATTTTAAAGTGGTAGTTGTATTGAATTTTTTTTTTCAATATTCTATTTGATATATTTATTTTAATCATAAAGAATTAAATACATATATTAAAATGATAGAAAAATATAGGAAACTCTATAAATACAATGAATCATAGCCATAAGAAACCAAATCTTTTGTCCTTGTGCAAGGTTTTGGAGAGCTTCATAAATTGTAAAAGTTAAGTGACAATGCAGAAGGTATTGTTATTATAAGTATAACTTTAGTTGTGTTCTAAAAAGATTTGAGGACTTTGGTTATGTTTGAGGTGCAATATAGATACAATATAGTGCAAGTAGATACAAGAAGAATTAAAGTGACAATAACTAAAGAATTTAAAAAAATTCACAATTGAGCAAAAAAAATTGGGATTTCAAACTTTTTGGATTTGAGTAGGAATATACAATGTCAACTTATGTGGACAAAGTTTTTAGGATTTGGATAGAAGTAGGGTATCTAATACATTAAAATTTTATGTTTATTATTATAAACACATAAGATTTAGAAAGAGCAATAAAAATATTAAATACAAACTAGCTTAAAATCATAAATTATTTTTCGAATACAAATAGATGAAGTATCTATATTCTACTAAACTTAAACTTATATTTGATAGGATTATTTTTTTGGATTTTTTTAGAAACTTCTATAGTTTTTTAATGTATTCCAAAGTATAATAAATTGTAACAAATTAGAATATAATTTAAAAACGGATTAATTATTTTTTCAAAAATATATTCATAATTTTAGTTAAAAAAAGAGGGAATTCCTACTTAATTTAATTTGAATTATAGTTTGATTAATTAAAATAATTTAATGATAGATTTAAATAACATAATAAGAATACTAAAAAGTGATATTAATATTTAATATTTATTTAAATAATTAATAAAAATAATCATTGGCAAAATAATCATAACAAAGTATAACAAGAATGTGTAGATTCTATTCATGGAGTCTCAATATCAATCAGAAAGTACGATGAAATCTAAAAACTAATGAAAATATTGGAGCAATGAAGGTAATGAAGCCATTAAAATTACCATATAAATTACATTAAAAAGTTCATCTCGTGAGTTTTTAAGAGTTGTCTTACGTGTGGCAACCAGTATAAAAGATATTATGGGAAAATGTCAAAATACAAAATAATAATAATAATAATAATAACAATAATAAATGGTTTGACATTAAATTTTAGTGAAGATAGGAAGTTGGAAATTTAGATTAAAAAAACCATTGAAAAAAATAGAAGTATATATGTATATATTTACAAAAATAAATCTCCTATTTTTATTTATTTTTTGTCTAAAAATTAAATACTTGTAACTACTTTGGAGAAGTCTTTTACATAGCTATTTACATAATATCCAACTTAGATGTAATATTTTATTAAGCTCAAATTACAACCGTTGTTATAAGAGCAAATTTAAGAAGTAGGAAGATTATTACAGCAAGATGTATAATTTACTTGTTTTTCATCATAAAGGTAGATCCTTGGTACACAAAGATTTTTAATGGATTAAACGGAAAATATAAATTTATTCTTATTTCATCTTATATAAACATCTTCGTTTTAGATACAAAGTATGTAATGAAAAATATATCTAAAGAAAAAATATGTATATATACATATATATATATATATAGATATAGATACACATATATTTAAAGTTCTTTATAGATATATATATATATATATATATATATATATATATTTATATATATAACTTTTAAAAAAATTTAAGATATGATCAAATTAGAGATATTTTACTAAACAACTTTTTGATGGATTGTGGATGTAGATTATGTCGTGATTGAAAACTTTAAAGATAAGTCTGTGAATAGCACAAAGGTACTTGTCAGGAATAGAGGAAATACATAGAGCTTATTAAAATCTAACATTTACTTAGGTGATTGAATTTTTGTTAGAAAAATATCTTAGATTATTTTTAAATAATAAAAAATATAAAGTCACGGTTTTGAAAAAAAAACTAGATAAATTTAAAATTGATGCATCTACACAAAAAAAAAAAAAAAAAAAAAAAAAATCTTAAAATGTAGAATTAGAAAATAAATAAATAAATAAATAAATAAATGCAATGTTATCAAATTAAAAAATTTACAAAAAACATCTATTAATATCTATAATATTCTACCTTGATGATCTGCATAAAAATAAACTTTCATTATTTTAAGAATTATAGGTTTTAAGTTGAAGTCTTCAACTTTTAGTTTTCAGATTGTCATGGAGGATGTTTTTGGAAGCATAATCAAAGAATTTGTTAAACTCTATAAATGTTTTTGCAAATACCAAGATAAGTCCAAGATTCAAAAGAAATTATACACCAAAGAAAGTACAAAAGAAAAAAAAAAGAAAAAAAAAAGAAAAAGATAAGTCCAAGATTCAAAAGAAATTATACACCAAAGAAAGTACAAAAGAAAAAAAAAAGAAAAGAAAAGAAAAAGATAAGTCCAAGATTCAAAAGAAATTATACACCAAAGAAAGTACAAAAGAAAAAAGAAAAAAGAAAAAAGAAAAAGATAAGTCCAAGATTCAAAAGAAATTATACACCAAAGAAAGTACAAAAGAAAAAAAAAAAAAAAAAAAAAAAAAAACACCTAACTCTTTCATTAGATACTCAATATTCATATGATAATTATCAAAACAAAATCAAGTAGAATTAGGAATGTTATAAAATTAAAGGCAAGAAGCACAAAGAATACAATCTTGAATAAAGCGGACAACTTGTAGAGTTTTATGCTTTAAATTATTTTTAATTTTAATAAAAAAATATGTCGAAAATAATAAAATTATTACAACCAATAAAATAAGGCAAATAACCAAATAGAATAAAATACTATTTTTATTATTTTTATGGTAATTAAAAATATAGATAAATAAATAAATCTACGTGGTTTGAAGAAGATTAATAATTTTTATAATTATTCATAAGTAGGAATTTTCGATAAATTAACTATAATATGAACTATAATCTTATTAAACTTATAATTACTAGGAAATCAAATCAAACAATCAAAAGTATAGTTTACAAAAAAAAAGTTTACATCAAGTAAATCTATATATATATATATATATATTGAATTCAAGAATATTATCAAAGATGACTACTTTTGCTATTATAAAAAAGACTATATACAAAAACATCTTATTAAATATATACATATACATTTCTTACTCAAAAATGGTAAGAGGTTAAATTTTAATGATTAGAGACTTATAACTCTCTTTTATATAGATTACAAAATCTATGGAAGAAAAAAATAATAATAAATAAAACTATACAATAAGTTATAAATAATTCTTATAAAGTTTATGAAGTGTTTATGTAGTCAAGTTGTGTTTATTTTGCTCAAATTTATTTCAGATAACATTTTAATGATTCCAAAAACCACATATGAGAATAAATTATCCAATCAATGATTTTAAGTTGAAAATTTTGATTTTCGAAAGCATGTGGCAAGATATCCTAGATTGTTTTTAAAGATGAATTGAAACATTTAGACATTTATTTTAATTCACAAATATAAAAAATAAAATAAATGTAAAATAAAAACATATGTGTTGATGACAACTTGATTAATATGTTTATCATCAATAGTAGAGTAAGATTAGAATATAAATTATATTTATATCTTTCTCTAATGGAAAATGAAGAATTATAAATTCCAGTTATAAAAAAATCATTTGTAAATTTATTTACTTGGAGGAAAAAAACTTAAAAGTTAATTTAATAAGCAAATGTATTTATATTAATTCCTAAATGAAAAAAAAAAAAAAAAAAAAATACAATACAATACAATTTGTGTTCTTTGTAGTTTTAGTCTTATATTAGACTTAGAAAATAATAGATCCACATCTTTTGCTTACTATTTACTTTTTTGGCACAATAAACAAATAATGTTAGATAGTCTTAGATTACTGACGATAATCTTTTTGACTTCTCTCTTAATATCTAGCATATAAATCCATTCTTATATTGATAAAATGATATATATATATTTTTTTCCATCTATATATTTACTTCATGTGGGTAGGCTTAGTAGTATAAGGAATTAGGACTACAATTTAAAATTTCTTATTATGCAATACTCAAACATAAATTTGTACCAAGGTTGCCTGAAATATGTGGTGTGTGTGCTATGAAAATGAAGAGGGGAAATGGCTTGACATAATAGATTCAAAAGTAAGCATAACTTATTTGCATCAATGCAAGCCTTTAATTATTTGCAAATCATTAATTAAAAAACGAGATAATCTGCTATACAGATTCATTCTTTTCAAGGAGATAAAACCATGTCAACAAAAAAAAAAAAATCACTACGTGTACTTTCGAGAATCAGCAGGAGTGACTACGAAAACGTGAATGAAGCAGAACACCATGTTGAGCCTGTGCAGACGTCCATCTTTGTTACAATCGAACTAATAGAAAACATGATTTGATACTCATCATGCTACTTTTAAATATTTTTTTCAGAAACTATCAGGAAAAAAAATCATCTCTTCCTACCACGCCACCTGATAAACGAAAACTCATGTTCATCGCTCTTTTATTCAGTGAGTACATGCTGACGAGTATGATAGAAAAACCGTTTTACTTGAATATCAAGTGTGCAAGAAAACATGCCAATACTTACTCTACGTGCGTTTACAGCCATCAGCTATCAAAACTTGCAGTATGAACTTTCTGCTCCATAGTGAATTTGCACTGAGGTTACAGATTGATAATCTCGTGCCACCCGCATTCGTGAGAGTTGCACAAAACTCGCCCCTTCACTTGATAAACTTCATTCGATGGTGTCTGAAATCATGTCCATGCAATGCTACCCAAGACGTAACACAAAAACGGCTTGCACCAGTAGCGATGTAAAAAAACAATCATGCTGATATACACGCCAATGCAAAAATAATTTGATCAGCAACACTTCTTTTATTGCTGGGCACTGTCTACTTTTTCAGTGTAGTCCGCCAGTTTCTCGTACTTCTGAAACCGTTCACATAACTGACCAAGTGCTCCAGGTGGGTGCTGCATCTTATTCAACTTCATGTCCTTCGACATTGCCTGCGAAACATAACCAAAATTGTTGAAACCCGTTTATACGACTTGAAAGAAAGAGAACAGGTGCGAGGATAAGAACTATGCTAGCCAAGACAACTATTTCACGTAGCTACAAAAATATCATAGGTTCGAACCATGCACAAACTGGATCAAGAGAGATAACTCACCACGTAGTCATCTCCATGTTTCAAAATAAGTCGACTAATGTAAACCCTTTGCATTGTTGTTAGTCTCTGAAGAGGTGCTTTCTTTCCGTCTTTTCTCTTTTTGTGAAGAACAGATTTCACATCTGTGGGAAGTCCGAAAGTAAGGAATACAGGTTAGCTTTAAGAGGCACCCTACTAGAAACCATTGATACGACGAGAAGTGTTCAAAAACCACAAGGACAATTTTCTGGTCCAATCTCGCTAACCTTCCCAAAATCAAGCAAGGTAACCGACTCAAACCTCATTCGCTTATGAATCCACATCTTATATGCTCTGCCAGAACAGCGCTCCCTCACAGTTCTACAGCCACATACACAAACCTTGCTATTCCAATAATACAGAGAAATAAAGAATCATCCTAACGACATTAGATAAGGGCAAGAGCTTACCATCAGGCTCGTCATCGCTACCATAAACCTCACTACCGTCATCTGACAACGGCTTCTGCAAGCTCACTAGCTGTACAACGTGACGTGTACCAGATCGTGCTCCCACAACATTAGGATTCGCCAAAATGCCCATCGACTTGTAATTTTCAAGTAGAGAAGCTTTTCCATCCCACTGCAACCTGTCCCAGAACACTCTTAATAGTCAGGAATTTTTCATTCAAAGGGAAAAAGCTATAGTAGACAGTCATAGCAATGCAAACACCTATAAGAACTCACAAGGTAAAATAAGAGTTCAGCTGCACAGATAAGCACAATCCTTCGTGGAACTATCAAGTGCTTAAAACAAGCTAAGGTAATCCTAATTTAAAATTTAGGAACATTAACTCTCCACGCCGCATCAGTTGTAAAAACCTAGTCCCAGAATTAATGCAGCTAAACTAAAAACACCGGCATCAACAAAATCAAATCGAATTACAGAGACAGCGAATTCTAACTTGGAGCTACCAAATCGAAACTACGAAAGCCCTAAACAACCGTGACGAGCACGCCGAATCGAAGTTCAAGGAGAGAATTACTTCGAGTCGGTTCCTGGAAACGTGAGAGTCTCGGGGGTAAGGGACTTGGGATTCTTGCGCTTGGGCAAGCCAACGCGCACTGTGGGATTGCTTTTCTTGAACGCTCTTCGAGATCTCCCCATTGTGACCGCGGCTGCAGCAACTCCAAGACCCTTTGCAACGGCTTGATTCTCCCTGAGGCTCCTCCTCACACCCCTACAAACCCCTCCGCTGTAAAACCCTCGCTCTGTCCCTTCTCCGGCACAATTAGGGTTTAGTGAACTGCCTCGGCTTCAGCAAGCGAGTTTGTTGGATGAAAATTTCGGATGATATCATATTTCATTTGCTATTTGTTCTGTTCGTTCGCATCTGATGGATGAATGAGAATACGAGTTGAGCGTGCCATTGAGACGACTTTCATTCGTATTAGAGGAATTATTTAAACCCTAATGAAAGTGAATAATGAGATGACAGTAACGAGTTAATGAAATTCATGAACATCGCCAAAAAATGTAAGTGTAAATTCCAACAACTTCTTATCACCAGGGTTCATACATTGTTGGTGTTCAGTAATTAATTTATCTTTTATTTATTTATTTATTTATTGCCATAAGGTTACTTGAAATACATACAGTTGTGGTTACTTATAAGTACACTTGAAGCAATCGACCTATTATTTTGAATGTTGAGATGTTTTCTTGAATAAATACCAGATTGCCTTTGAAAATCACAAAGTTTTGAAGCCACTAGCTTTAAAATCAAGTGACAATATTAGATTTTTATATTTAGGATGCAATATCAAAGTGTATTGTTATCTTACCTAGAACTTTGGAGAAAAAGCATATGCTACCAAAAACAAATCATGAAACATTCTCATTATTTAAACACTTTTTATAAAATAAATATTATTAGTTATTTGATAATTTAAAATAATATATTTAAGAAAAGTATAATTAAAAATAATTGATTGATTGACAATATTATATCAATTATGGTTTTACATGTCACATGTAATTTGTTTTATTGAGTAATATTTGTAACTATTAACCTTGGAATTACACTAGCTAGGTAGCAATTTGGTCAATAAAACTGTCTGGGCTACTAATACATGTCATTGGTTGTGAAATATTAGTCAGATATATATATATATATATATATATATTGACTTGAATTATATTGAAAAAAAATACTTAATGAATTGTTGCATTCGAATTTTTAAAATTAATCAGTCACAATTATATTCTCTAGAAAATACCTATATAGTAAAAGACATAAAGACATAAAGTGCAAATAAATCATGTGAGTCCATATTAAAGATTATAAATACATTATGTTGTTATGGATGAAAAATATGAGGATCATTTTATTATTGTAAGATTGATAACCTTAAAACAACAAAATCGTCAATCAAATTGCATATAAACACATAAATATTCTCATAATGAATTACTTGTTGCAATGTACTTCAAAAAGAGCAATATTATTTAAGCATATGTAAAATTGAAAGTCTAAGATTAATTCACTAATTATTCCCAAAAGATATATATCTTATAGATAAGATTATCTGATGCCATGAAGTACGGAGATATATTTATATATATTTTATAAATAAATGTATTACCATTAAAGATACTATGTGAATAAGGAATTACTAAATTAAAAACTTACAACAAATTCAGATTTTGCCAAATAATTTACAACAAACACTTTATGTTTAAAAGTAACGTTTTAATTTAGCTGTAAACTTAAGATTTTAATGTATATTTGATAATATATGTTTAAAAATGCTTATAAGTTGTACACCTGCTTAGATACCAAGTCACGAATGACGAACAAGACTTGGTTAGTAAGAATGGTTAAAGAATATGAATAAAAGAAAAGAAAAAGGTAGTTTATACCACACTATTTTTGCACGCTAGGAACGAGCTCATTTGAAGATGTGAACTAAAAGTTGTTCATTTTGAAAGAAACAACGAACAATAAACAGAAGTGTCTTAAGTAAGACCCATCTCCTTCATTCCTTGTCAAAATTCAGGAAATATAGATTATTCCATGTGTGTGTAAAACATAGAAGTTCATATATACTTCACTTATCCAACTTGAAATCATACAGTAAAACATGGCAGAAAGAGAATAGAAATATGCTTTGAAGCCATACTGTAAGCTACGAAATCGCTGAGTAACAGCATGAAATCAATTGTTGGGAGTAGGAGGGGTGTAGAATTAACGGTTTGGGTTTTTTTCAAAAAATAAAATAATATTTAAAGTCATTCACGAGCAATTAAACAGGGTTAAGGATTTATTAAATGTTCTAAAGCGAAAGGCCATTTGGATTTTCTGTTCATCCAGTAGCTAAACCTGGCCGCTGCTCAGGGGACGTTGTGGCACACAATTCGAGAATTCTCCAACGTTACCAGCTACGGAACCTCTAAAATAAGGATGTATGCAGAGTGCATATTATAATATTTGTGATGTTCGGAGTACTTCATATGGTTCTTAACTGAATTGGGTATAAATCAATCAATTCAAATGGATAGTATTCAGATGTAGAGTAACAGATAAATGGAAAATATGCAGCACAGTGCATGTTGTGAAGTCAGAAAGAAACTCTAAAAAGTACTCAAATAAATAAATAACTAAAAAGAAGAAAGAAAGAAAGAAAGAAAGAAAAAAGAAAGAATCAGAAACGAAATGGAAAACAAGTCCACCGATAACAAAGACTTTGAATGGATTCAAATACTCGATTGAAATTTTGGTGAAGGGAAATAAGCAATTTGCTCAACACCTCAAAGTAGCAATAGATTCAGGTACAATTACAGAAAAGCTGCACTTCTTCCGCATCAAGCACACCTACTAACTCCTGACTAAAATTCTGCCATTTGAGCGTTCTAAGCTGTTCCCAAACAACCTGCAATTTTGAGCTACTGTAATTGGAGAAGTCTAAAGTACAGAGTCAATCTGAAATGATACAATTTAATTCCGGGTTTCGCTGAAAAGAACGCAAGCATTGGGTTTTTCCGTGTTAATGCACTCCATACCTATTCATTTTTCTCGGAGCAAACTTTGACTCCTTCGGGATTGATCAAAAGCTGCGCAAAGAGCAGTCCATATGGGAACCAACATAGACAACGGCGGGCGTACATGAAGAAAGGTGAGAGTCAGTCGAGAATCGTCCCGAAGCAGCAAAGCCAAGTAAGTGTAACATGTCGTCGGAGTCACCGCCTCGTTGATCACAGGCCGCAGAATGCGGTGGAGCGGGACAAACCGCCGCTTAACATTCTTGCTGCGGTATAAAGTCTCCAGCTGTACCCCCAACGTCGGCATCACCACCACAGCTTCCTGCTCCACCTGACCTCTCCGCCACAGAACATAGAACAAAACACCTATCGCCAAAACCCAATGCAAGCCTGCCTCCTTCCCAGCACTAGCGAACAACAAACCAATCGTCCAAATCGACAGCGCGTTGCACAACTTCCTAACAATACCATAACTCCGTTGCTTCACAAGAATCCTGTACGTGTGGAGGAGCGGCAATCCACCTTCCTGATGCGATTCACATACATATTCGTACCGCGGATGCTTGAACTCTTCATCAAGTTGAACCCCCTTCATCGTCTCTCCCCTTCACTCCTCCACTCACACACACACACATACACACAAAAAGACGGATTCCAACATTCCATCCCGGAGCTCTATCATGTTGCTAAACCAGACGATCTACCTCACGACACATGGCCGAAACGATCACAAATTTCTCCACAACATGGAAGCCACAGCTGGATTCGACAATAATTCTCAAGCGAAGAGCATCGCCCATATTCCTCCAAATTGGATTAGGGTTTCCAATCGAGATCCCCTTATTCTATTCCAGATTCGATCACCTCATTTGGGACTTTGATTTTTGGGACCTGAATTCTCGCAAGGGTGAACTAGACGACATACGACGTACAATTTTGCCGATGTCTTTGAGAGGTGCGTGAGGCTTCGGTGAATTGTCGAAGGGCGTTTTGTTTTGTTTTTTGAATTGTGCATCGGTGCCGAATTTCGCCAATCGATCAAGATGGCGGGTGGGATGGACGTTGTCAAGAACAAGCACATTGAGGACTGGGGCACGGCGCGGGAGAATCTGGAGAAGACGTTCCGGTTCACCAGACGGAACATCGCTGTGGCGCTCATCTTCGGCGTCGCGGTGCCCTTCTTGACCTACCAGGGCATCACGGGCGAATTTGTAAGTGTTTTCGTGCGTTCGTGCTTCGTGGGATAGGCATGTCTGTCGGAGGGTTTTCAGCGTTAGGAAGTGATTTTGAATGAGTTAGGGTTCGGTCCAAGGCTTCTGTTGGGAGTGCGGAGTGTTGCGAATGACTTGAGTTGTGGGTTGCGTTTTAGGAGTTTTAGGAGTTTTTTTTCCTTCTCTCTTCTCCTCCTCCTCCTCCCATGATTTAGTATTGCGATGTGTCTCGTGGTCATTTGTGTTTCGCATTTGTTTAAAGTGAATGTACCAGGAAATTGTCTTTGACTCCAACTAGAACTGTTACAATCAAGCATTATGTTCTTGATTCTACTCAATTTATTTCTGTGAACTGAAGAGCTTACTTCGGAAACAGAATGCTAGGTTGAAGTGCTTACTTTTAAAGTTGTGTCGGAGGAATTCCAGACAACTGCAGGGATAAGCAGGCTGTTCTGGTTCTCTTGTTTCTTTATCAGCTGATAGACAATCTTAGTTTTGGGCATTGTAAGGAGGTCTAGATTGTTTCATTCTGCTTTCTGTGTCACGATCAACTTATTGGCTTTTATGTGGCTTCTGATGCAGCACAAGCAGGATATCGCTGCTGGGCAGCCTCGGCGCAAGTTTTTGGGCACTCAGTAGCCTAGTGGATTGATTAGAACATGCCTTTCATAGGGAAGGATAGGGGTGCCTTTCCATTTGGCTCGAAAGGATAATCTTCTGCAACTTCTCCATTTACAGGCTGGTAGTAAGATCCTTTATTTGGTTTTATTTTTTGGTCTTTCTCCACAACAACACATTTGACCTCTATGTTGTTGTTGCCAATGCTGGATTTAGCCAATAAATGATCAGGCTTGCTCAAAAATGAGAAAGTGGAGATTTCTAGGTGACGCAACTCATGTGAGTGAATGGCGTTTGGGAGTTTCCATACCTTTTCGTGAATCAATAAGGTGACGTAAGGTTGCAAATTGCCGTGCAACTCGTCTCGACTGATTCCGCTGACGGAGTTTTTATAAAACATTGATCGTCGAGCAATTCTTTTGCTACCATTTTCTTTTCTTTATGTAGAATGTCAAGACGTCAGAACATCCCTCCCCTTTTGGAACAGCAACTTCCATTGCGTTATATCTATAACAGTACCGCTGCACATATTATTCTTAGGTCGCTACTTAATTTCCCTTGACACAAGTGCTGGAGCTTTGAGATGCAGCCATGTCACACTATGAAGCAACATAACCAACAGAAGCTTACGAAACTAGTACATTCCTAAGTGGTCGCTCTGTCAATCGACTTCTAGTTCAGGAATGTAAACCTAATCACTGAATGGAACTGGATACAAAAATATTGAGACCAGTAATCATGTGCTCTTATTGTAACTAAAAAAACACTGGTATCTCCAGGCTGCCAACTAAGCTACACCAAGTCCAGATGGGAAACATGGACTCTCATGCGCTCCATTTGAATCCATATTGTAACAGTGGAATTTTGCTCATTACAGCGTATTTTCACATGATACGTCTCCACTTGCCGAAACTGCAAATACTCATATTATTTTCCGCTTTTTCGGTATAGCCTTACGTTTGGGCTGACAATGGGTTGCAAGGGCACCTTCATCTCCCGAGCTCTTCCTGCAATAGAAAAGTTATATAAATCGTACCATCACCAAAGAAAAGCTCTGGTTTGTATCGTTTACTAAAAACACCCCACTGAAACTTACTTTGTTACCGATATTAAATTTCCCACAAAGCACGACCAAGGACCATCTCTGTCTTCGGCGAAAAATTAAGTGGTGTAAGAATGGAAAACTCACTGTAGAACACCCTTGTGAATCCCCGGTTGTTTCCACGGCGGTAGCCTTGGAAGTGATTCGGATATATGCCAGATCAGTGTACATATCTCTGGTCCTAATGTACCGGGGGTGTATCTGGGGTGGTAGAGTTGGAAGTGATTCGCGTATATACCAGATCGGTGTATATGCCTCTAAACCCTGTTGCCACGATTGATTTGATGACATAATCTTCTAGCCACTGTAATATATCGCTAAATTGATGACGCTACCTTGGAATAGCGGGTCGAGGGGTCCTCAAGATCTTGATGTTTATTGTGATGAGTTGGTCGTGATCTCGAAGGAAGTGCCGCATTGACGAGGTGAGCGTTCCAATACCGTAACTGCTCTCAATACCGTGGTTGTGTTCGACAGCAAAAGGCTAAGAATTCTAAGCTCGTCATGGTTTCATTGGAGGACTTCGGCTCCTCCTCAGAAGACTTGGCAGAAGCTTCGGCAGCATCCATGTTTTTTCTCACCTCCACCCCTTCTACCTCTCTACTTCCAATCTCTCTTTCCCCTCCTTGTTCAACTTCGGTTCTTCCATCCACAGCACCCCTAGACACCACCGACTCATTGAGCTCTATTTCAATATGGTTAATAAGACAATTCCCGGCTTGCTGCACCTCAATTGGAAACCTCTAGAGATAAGCTTGGAAGTTTAACCTGGATGCATACTCCAACGTGATAACTTTGGCCCGGTAGCCCTCTCCATAAGAATCGGTTCGATATACTCAGCATCAACCTAGGCAGAGCGTATCTGACAAAAGCAATCCCCTTTGCTCCCGAATCCAATGTACCTTTGCAAGCCATCCCAAGAGCATGGCCTTACCCTCCATTGTTGACTCCATTGCTGTAGTAATCTACCACGTGTGCTCCCCTCTAATCTGCTCAGCGTGCCCCCTTCTAACCTGATAAGTGCTTGCAACCCGAACCTAAAGCAGTAGGTCCAAAGTTCTAGTTGACGCTTGCTTCTTGCAGTGTCATCCTCCCGAGGTTTGCGAGCTTCCATTTCTCCCTTGTTGTCTATTACTCTCTTTTGTCGCCCGTCTCCCTCCAACAATAGAGTCCCTACTCACCTTTCCAAGATTTTGATTGATAGTCTGGATTTTGTTTGAGTAGATACACTCCTCTCTCCTTCACTTACTCTCTTTTCACACACATATTATGTTCTCTTCTCTCTAAACTTAACCTTACCAGCAAGATCGACTTATTGTTAATGCCCTTGTAGCTTGTATTTTAATGCTCCTCCTAGCCTTTTGATGAAAATTTTCCGCATAGATTGGTCCCTTGGCTGGTCCTTTGTCTTGTCCTTTTGGATTTGTACTTATTCTTTTTTAACCACAGTGTGGAATTAAATATTATATATTACCTTGAGGTAATAAGTTTAAGATGCCTTGGAATCCAATTGCTCCTATGATGACTTGTTTCTCATTTTTGAGGGGATTGTCTCTTTGTCGGGGTAGACATTTTGGATTCTCTTGAGGGCGTGTATGGAGTCTATTGTTGTATACCTCAGGCTAGATTGGTTTGACAGGGTACTAGTTGTTGAGTCCTCTCTTATTTCTTGCATAATTTGTGCTAAGATATCTTTTGCTAATTCTCTAGCTTGCTGATTAGCTTTTTGTTTTGTGTAAGTTGGTCTGAATTAGAGTTCTTATTGGATGGTAGCTATTGGTCTTGGTGTAGAAAAACTTGGTAGCAATATTAATAATCACAACATAGAGTGGGGTGTGGAAAGAGCTTGCAGAGACTATGGATTTTGTGCTTGGGGTCCTTGATCTATAATTGCCATTAGTGAAGTATTCTATGTCTATTGAAGGCTATTGACTAATGATTGAGGTAAGAACTTTAGATGAGGGATTGGTTTCTAAAATGAATAGTATATGTGAAAATAAAAAAATATTTTTTGTGTTGATATTGTAAAAAATTTAAATACTATATTGCTATGTTTTTTGGAAGAACATTTATTCTTGTGCCTGTGCAGTTAAGTCCATCCATCCATCTCCACTTGCGTTGTAGACTTCTAAGCTTGATATAATACCACTTCAATATAAAATTGATTGTCTTTGAAGTTATATTCATACTTTTGGCACCAAATGTATCAAATAATTGACCTCAAAGAATATTCCATAGAATATGCTATAAGACTTTGTATGGATTGTCAACTTTTCAACATATATCATTTGTAGATTGATCTTCTTGTAAGACACATTGAGGCATATTTTTGTAGAATATTCATTCCCATAAATGATTAAGTCTATTTAGTTCCACTTTGCATTTCAATATTATATAGATTATTTATGCTTTTATAACATACAAGTATATCTAGAAGGCATGTTCTATTATTTTTAATATTTTTTTTTGGTGCAATGAATAGTATCTTGGTTGATATATCTTTATTTGCCATGTTTCTATAAGAATCTCTTCTACTATTTTGAGTAAGATCATTATAGATATTTTTTTTGATATCCATGGATGCCATAGACTTGTAGAATAGCTCTTGCATTATCTATATGAATATCCTTAGTGTTGCACAAATTTATCAAAATTGAATTGGTGATCTTATTTTTAGAAGAAACTTTTATATTTTCTTTTCATTTTATAGTTGAAAAATGGAATTTTCTAAAATAATTCATACTTTGTCCATGTCCATTTCCACAAGTTGATTTCTAAGATTTTTATATCTCTCTTTTTATATGCCTAGATTGTAGGAGTTAGGTCAAAGGTATTTGTTGGATTAAAATCCATAAATCTTCTTAAAATAAACTTTATGATTGTAAGGGCTTAATAGAGTGCATTATTTGGTATATTAATTCTCTGATTATATACTCATAACTGATTTGTATATCTTCTACAACTATAATACATACTAATTCAATCATAAAAAGACTCATCGGTGATGTGGAAGATGTTTTTTTTTTGGACTGATAGTGATCTAGGTTTCTATCAAAAATATAATAGATTTAGCCATGTTTCACTTTACGGCCTCTATATGCAACAATTTTAGTTATTCTTTGTGATTTTTGTTTGTTACCAAATACTTTTTATATTGCAGTAACTATTGTGAATATATATCTAACAAAATCAATATATGTTAAAAGTCTTATAGAATATTGCTACCTAAGTCATAATTAAAGAAAATATATGGAGGTAAGAGTAATGTCGTCTTCAATCTTGTCAATATATTTCTTATTTTTTGTTTAGTTTCAAAAGTTTTATGTTTGGAATAAGTATGAATGTCCATGATATTATCCCTCCTTCTAGGAATGAATTTCACAAAGAATGATTATCATATATTGAAGAAATCTAAGATGCTGCAAATTACATTTGTGACATACTTTGATCTTTGTTCACTTTGAAGATGGTTGATAAGTCCTCTTAGCCATCAATAGTATCTAAAATCTGGATAGAAGACCACCTTATTATTTGTTAATTGTTAACATTGTTGTAGTAGAAAGAGTTGCCTCAAGAAAGTTCTAGGCCTCTAAATGCCATTAATTACTCTAATAAGTTGTACGATTATAAAACACAAATATATTTTAAAGCTTATTTTCAAGAAGACAATTACATCAAATATACAATTTTATAATATATAAGAATAACTAAGATGTGACTAGATATCCTAAAATCACTTCTATTCCTATGGGAATCACTTTCATATATGTATCACAAAATAACTTCTAATCTAATTGTCTAGTTGGATTCAAAAATTTCTACAAATTAACTTATATTTTTGACTACCTCCATACAAAAATTTAATTATAAATTTATTATAAGTCTTTGGATATCGCCTAATTTCTAGTAGATATTAAATATGTCAATTTTTAGGCACTAACACACTAATTCCTTCATATCTCAAAGATCCAATGCTTAAATACCATGAATTTTTCATATACAACTTTTCAACATAGCTATTTATATTTATAGAAATTTTAAGCCAAAAATTTATCCAAAAATTCAAGATATGGCAAAAATCAAAACCTCTATTAAAAACAACTCACTTACAAATTCCAATTTTGAATACTAACTTCTAATAGCTCTTTTTTTTAAAATCTAGATTAGAATATATTAATTTTTTAATATAAAATATACCTTTTTAAGTCCACTTTTGAATCTCATTTTTCATATCTTCAAAGCTTTCTTAGAATTCTCTATATACTTGAAAGAATAATAGTAGGTATAAAAATCACACCTTAACTTCAAACAATCATATCTTCTTCATTTCACTCCAAATTATACATTATTTTCTCATAAGTTCTAATCCAAAATATAATTTTTTTGAATCCAACCTCCAAACTTTGAATGCATTGTCTTTCTTCAAATGGTCTACCTTGCCTCAAATAAATTATCTTTAACTGGTCAAAAATTCTAGTGTGGCCCCAGATAATAACTTCAAGCCTATTGGGCATGACTTTCAATTAATAAAAATAATGTCCTTTATTACTCATCTTATCCATCGACATACAATGGCTTAAAAGTCAAAATATTATACTTTTGATTCCGAAACTTGTTTAATTTTTTTTTAATAAATTCTATATTTTCTATCTTTAATTATAAAATTTAAGCTAAAAAATTAAATAAATTAGATAAATATTTTATTATATTTATTTTTTATTTTTCTTTTATTTATTTTTAATTATAATTCAAAATTTCATAATATTTCATATTATTTTTATATGTTATGCTACTTTCAATACAACAATACCTTCATATCTCCGTTCAAATAAAATATTTTGAACATTGTCAAGAGTCATTTTTACCTCTCATAAAATCACCAAATGTGGAGAATATCTTCTAAAGTTATGATATCAAATACATTGTATTTTACAATTTATTCAAAAAAAGACATATTATTCTTAAGGATCTTCATTTCAATTATTTTGTCTTAAAAGTTGTAAGAATTTCAATGTCTTGTTTGGTAAGTCAACAAATAATAGTTCTTGAGTTGAATTTGCTAGTTGATAGTTATTCATCTTCTTAGTCTTATAATTACATAGAAGATATATATAAAAAAAAGATAGAATGTTATCTTCTTTAAATCTTATTTCTTTTATAATAAAGATTTGCTGTTCTTTATCTTGATTTTGATAGATATTGCAATGAAAAACTTCAACCTTCTTTGCTGCATTTATAAGATTCTTTGCTGGTTCCCATATGTAATTATTGTTGTTTATATCCGTATCAATAAATAAGATATTTCAACCTATTTTGGTATCTCTTTGAATCTAAGACTTCTTCTACCTCAAATTTTTGATTATTATCTATTTTTATTGAAAGAGGTGGTATTTATTCTTTTTTTTTAAGATATTCATTATATTATATGATTCAAAAAGAGATACATAGAATATAAGATGGATCTTCATAGACTCTAGTAGATGTAATTAAAAAGAAATAAGATTGACTTGTTCCCAAATAAAAAAAAGGTCTAAGTCTATGATAGTCTAACTTGTTATAATGACAAATAGTCTTGATATTAATCATATCTTGTTATCTACGTTGAATTATAGCTATTCCTTAAAATAAGCATCTATTATCATATTATATGTCTTTTTATTTGGGAATGCATTGGATACCTGGTTGTGAAAGGTGAAGTTATATCTTACAAATATCTAAGAAATTATAATAGGTTTTAACTATTAAAAAAATAAATTTTGAATTTCAATACAAAAGAACTTAAAGCCAATGCATAGTATTCAAAAAAATTCTTTTTAATTACTTCATGTAAATATAAATCCTAATTATTTTTATATTTGCTTATTTTTTTTAACTTCCAATTTTCTCTCGAAATCCTAACCCTAGGCAATGAGCTTCAACTAGCTGTAATTCTTGATTTGACTATCCAATTGATACAAAATTTTGCATACTAGTGAAATAATACATCTTCTATATGCTTAATTTTTTTTTAATTCAATCCAACTCATAAATTATAAGAAAAATATAAAAGAACTGTGCTAGTATCTCTCAGCTCTAATTTGAAGGTTGTTGATGAAGTTCAAGCAACTATTATTTTTATCTTCGACTATTAATTTTAGCTCTAAATTGAGATGAAACTTTATATGTTAGCCTTCTAAAACTATGCCAAATTTCTCCTTATTCTAATAAGTACATCTTTAGATATTATAAAAATCCTATTTGATCCTAAATTACTAATTTTTAGTACTTCATTGTACTAACAACTAAATATCTATCAATTACATTATTAGAATAATAAAAAAGTTGACACACAATTAGCACATCCATTCAACTACCTACTAACAA